GCCTTGGTGCTTTTCGCTCTTCCCTGTCGAAAGCCTCTATGCAGAAGCGAACGTTCCATCCTTATCGATCGCCGTGATGCCCATTGCCTGCGCTACTATGTACGCTCTCATGATCTCCGCAATCCTTCCATTTATAGAATGGTCACTGATATTAGTAGACATTCTTTATTTGTTCGCCGCCCCTGCTTACTCCGTCCCTTCTCTCTTCGCCTTCATTCGCTCTTGTCTTCTCTTCAACTACCACCTTTCTATGTACATGTAGCATCACACTTTTCCCTACCCCCCTGGGAAGTTCCAGCTGTTCGAGTCTGTTCTTTCTCCCTCCCTTGCTCGAAAGCCCAACTGTTTATACGGTCGCTTCCGCTCTCTTTTTCTTGACCACTTTCACTCTCATTCTCATGCCATTGCTGTGTACACAGATGGCTCTAAGTCTTCTGACGGCGTAGGATTCGCAGCAGTTTCCGGACAGCGTCGTACAAGGGCATTTACTATCTTCAGCTAGTATTTTTACTGCTGAATTATATGCCATCCTTACAGCACTTATCCGTATTGCATCTATGCCTGTGTCATCATTTGTGGTTGTCTCAGACTCCCTTAGTGCTTTACAGGCTATACAGAAATTTGATACACCTCACCCCTTAGTCCTCCGTATCCAACTTTGGCTACGCCGCATCTTTACTAAGCATAAAGATATTGTTTTTTGTTGGGTCCCTGGTCATGTTGACGTACAGGGCAATGAACAGGCAGACACTGCTGCGCGGTCAGCAGTACATGACCTACCCGTTTCTTATAGAGGTATTCCATGTACGGACTATTTTGCTGTAATATCTTCCCACCCTTTACACCCGTTGGCAACAACGTTGGTCTACTATGCTCGGCAACAAACTTCAGTCTATTAAACCGAGTATAGGTTAAAGGCCGTCTTCTTATCACCAGTGTCGAGGTTGGGAGACTACTCTCTCCCGTCTTTGCATTGGCCATACTCGTCTTACTCATGGATATCTCATGGAGAGGCGTCTTGCTCCTCTCTGTGAGAATTGCAAGCTCCATTATCAGTCAGCCACATTCTGTTGGACTGCCCACTTTATCAACGAGCACGCAGAATTTACCTCTGTCGTCGTCTTCGCCCCGCTGCTCTCTCTCTTTACCTTCCCTTCTCGCTGATGGACCCACCTTTCATCCGGACTCTCTCATTGACTTTTTGACAACGACTGACTTACTCCACAAATTTTGATACTTTCAGCCCTTTCTACTTGTATCTCTTGCTACCCTCTACCCCCGTACTATCCCCTGCCCCGCTGTTTTCTGTAACCTGCTGATCATCCCCCCTCCCTTCTGCCATCCAATTCCCTTGCTTCCTTCCCTACCCTGCAGCGCTGTATAGCCCTTGTGGCTTAGCGCTTCTTTTTGATTATAATAATAATAATAATATCATAGATATAAGATATAATATTTAGTGTGGGAGAAGCAGCAGGTGAGGCAGGTGCTACCTCACTCTGCAATATTTTTAACTCATTATCACGGAATCTCAGGTAAGTCACGCTCTGTAACACCTGTTATGTGTTAAAGGCCTATAGTAGGCTTATATACCTAGTATAATATATATGTGGTTTAACCGCGGGGAAATTGAAAAATATTAGGTCTTGCCAGGAAATGTCAGTGACATTTCTTCGGGGTATATTGTTGTTTTATTTGTCTGTGATGCAATTACTTACGAAATATGATGGTAATAAGTTTCAATAACGAACAATGACCACAAATGGAGAAAAAAAGTAGCTGACTGTTTTTTGGGTTATCCTAAGTAATATATAATATGTACGATTATTTATGTGTACCCGTATCTTAATAAACTTACTTAGGGTTTATAAGAGGTGGTATAGTAATTAATGGGTAGTTTAATAGGTAAATATATCTGGCCTTGTACTTCACTCCAATATTTTTTTTTTTTGGTACCCTCCTGGGAGGTGTCATCACCATTAATGTCTCGCTGGTGGTTTATAATATCACTGTGAGCCACCATAACACTGTTGATGTGATTGAACTTATTAAGGGGGGAGTGAGGGAATATATTTTTGTTTTCAACGATTTATTTTATTTTTGGTGTACTTTTAGAGGTGCATATATAGTTTTAATGTGACAAAGTTTCAGTATGATGGCCAACAAACAACGTAGAAAAAAAAATATTAACATAATTTTGATATATGGCAGCATCCCGACAAATTGGCACTACGAGTGGCACTTCCGACATTCCCAACTGTTAGAATACAACTAGCACGAATTTTTTACATTAAGAGATAAGATAAGATAAGATTTCGTTCGGATTTTTAACCCCGGAGGGTTAGCCACCCAGGATAACCCAAGAAAGTCAGTGCGTCATCGAGAAAGTCAGTGCCATTTCATCTAATATATCTTATTATCATGGTAAAAAAAATACATTTGACAGAATTTTTGGCATTCACCAAAATATCTGCCTTTTACCCCCCACAAAATCAAAAATATTTGAGATATTCCAAAAAATCTATCATTAAAATTTAAAACACACTTTGTTTTATATTGTCTGAAAATCATTTCAATACAATCATTAATAATGGTGCTGGTTAGCGAAATAAGTGAATAAGTTACTTCCGAGATATAGGCCTAGAACGCCGGCAGGCCTACCGTCAAAAAAAAAAAAATTCTTTTTTTTCGCGAAAATCGCGTTTGTTTCGGTGTATTTCTTAGTAAACTGATGTTCTAGTGCAGTTACCCTCTTCAAAACATCGTTTTCTCTCACTCACAGACCAAACAATACAACATGGAGACGAGGAGTAACTTTTTTATATCGAGATATTGCTGGTGGACTCTCGCTATATTATGGCCTATTTTATTCAGTCTAGAGTATATAACATGTTTGTTTGTTATTTACAGTGATTATTATATCATATTAGATCAATTCTGATAGATAAATAAGCCGTATAGTTAATATATAAGCGTAATAATGAAGTGATTTCACCTGGCACTCTCTGGAGAGGGAGCACTGCCGAGTGTACCCAGGTGCTTCCCGATAGGCTAGACGTCTATTGATAAGCTCCACCTACTCTTATATGATGCCAAATAATCAATTATTATATTAGAAAAAATAATGCAAAGAAAAAGCGATAAAAACGAGGAAAAAATTCCAAAAAATACATGGGTTGAGAACAGACGCGCTACCTACATCGCCGCCACCATACCAGATATAAATGACTATAATTTCTTGTAGAAACGTTGTAGAACATTGATTCTTGTACCATTGTGTTGCCAAAGAGTTAAGCTATTTTTCTATATGAATAACTCATTTTCATAATTTTTCGAATTTTTCTTGAGAGCGCTGAAAAAAATGTTCACACCTCAGAAATATAGTGTGAATTAATTTAATCTTCAATTTCATTGTAACTCACCTAGATAAGATAAGATAAGATTTCGTTCGGATTTTTAACCCCGGAGGGTTAGCCACCCAGGATAACCCAAGAAAGTCAGTGTGTCATCGAGGACTGTCTAACTTATTTCCATTGTGGTCCTCAATCTTGTGTCCCAGGATGCGACCCACACCAGTCGACTAACACCCAGGTACCTATTTGCTGCTAGGTGAACAGGACAACAGGTGTCAGGAAACGTGTCGAAATGTTTCCACCCGCCGGGAATCGAACCCGGGCCCTCCGTGTGTGAAGCGGGAGCTTGAGCCACCAGGCCACCCCTAATGACCATATGTATAATTACTGCATTGTTATTGCTTTATTAATCTTAAGTGTGGCCGAAATGCTCTGCATATAAAGGGGCTTTTGGCATGTTCACCAAATTATTACACTCCTTTGTACAAACATGTATCATGCAAAAATAAAATTTGTCATTGATGGTTCAGTGGTTGGGTCACCATGATGCATTACCATCTTCTAGGCCACAATAAATCCTGTTGTTGTTGACTCGACTGGCTGTAAGTAAATGAGCATATTTAGGTAGAGGTGCATACAAGGTCAGAGTGACTAATTAACCACTCAATAACTTATATCTAACTTTAAGTAGTTTGAAAGCATTAGCATTAGTCTGCCAGAAATACACACGCTTACTAGTAGCTTTCTTTGTGCTTAATAATATTATATATGTAAACTACAACTTGTATACTACAAAAAAAATAGTTTATTTTTATTTACATTATTATATGTAAGTATATGGTTGGATGTCTGGCTCTGCCGGGACTCAGGCAAGATGATGTAACTGACCTAATTGGGAACTTATTCCAGTTTATTTTTCTGAAGTAAACTTTTATTTCCTTTAGAATTCGTTTCAGATTTGGACAATATATTTTTCGTTCTTCCTCCCGGAAAGCGGGTGTCTATGAGGCGATAATCCCTCCCAGATTTGGGTATATTTTTCCAGCCTCCTGGGAAACACTACTCTGGGAGGCTATAATTCCTCTAAAAGTTGGACAATATGTTTTTCCTCTTCCTCCCGGGAAACAGGGCTCTCTGAGGCGATAATTCCTCAGAGATTTTGGACAATAAATTTTTCTCTTCCTCTGGGGAAACAGATCTCTGTGAGGCTATAATTCCTCCCAGATTTTAACAATATGTTTTTCCTCTTCCTCCCGGGAAACAGGGTTCTATGAGTTGTGCAAGAAATGTATAAAATACCGACAATATGAAAGTTAAGACACATGTACAACATCTGGATATCTTTATTGTAGACGTTTCGCCATCCAGTGGCTTTATCAATACAGATTCTAGGACATAATTAGAAGTCAGTAGAACTATATACAAAAGATGAGGCAATAAGTCCCTCAGCCTTCGAGTTATAGTTCACAGCATCGTGGTGGTGGAGAATCTGTATATAGTTGTATATAGTTCTACTGTCTTCTAATTATGTCCTAGAATCTGTATTGATAAAGCCACTGGATGGCGAAACGTCTACAATAAAGATATCCAGATATTGCACATGTGTCTTAACTTTCACAAGGTTCTATGAGGCACCAACTTTACTCACCCTTAACAACCACTACAACATATTCTCCCGCGAAAATTTCCATTTCTCGGTAAGGTGAGATTTTTTTTCTCTAGCAGCCTTCTTATTTTACAAATTTTTGTTTTAAAGTTATAAGATGGTTGTACTAAGCTCAAGTTTATCATAGGCACACAATGGTAAAGTGTTATATACTTGGGATTACAGTGTGTTGGAAAGTAATTATAGGCACATGATTATGCTTTGTGTAATTTTCTCTCCATTATCAGTGTAATTTTCTCCCTATCATCGGTGTAATTAGATTTGTGAAGGCATCTGTCTGCTGGTGGAGCACAATTTTATAATTCATAATGATAATGAGCCATTTTTTTTCTCCCTGGTTACTGGGGGTTATGGTGCCCCAGTTTGAAATTATTCTGGTCTGGCACCGACTTTTTTCAAATGTATGAGTTGATAAATTGCTTCATGGTGTGTACGCAACTATTTGTGGTTGCCGGGGTCGAGACTCAGCTCCTGGCCCCGCCTCTTCACTGATTTCTGTGTTTGCAAAGAATAAGCAGATATAATTATAAAACAATAGTTATGGTACAGCATTATGCAAAAGTATAAAAAGAGAGAGAGAGAGAGTATACTTGGAGGGTGTTCAGGGGGTCAACGCCCCCACGGCTCAGTCCTTGCAGTGGATCAGGGCCTGATCAACCAGGCTGTTACTGACGGCTGCGTGTAAACCAACGTACAAACAACAGCCTGGCTGGTCAGGTAATGACTTTAGGTGCCTGTCCAGCTCCCTCTTGAAAACAGCCAGAGAGAGATTTTGTTCAGATTTTTAACACAGAGGGTTAGTCACCTAGGATAACCCATTGTGTCGTTGGGGATTGTCGGTCTTATCTCCATTGGAGTCCCTCAATCTCACCCAGGATGTGACTCACATTTGACTAACACCCATGTACCTACTCACTGCTAGGTTTACCTGGAGGTGAACAGGGGTTTGTTATTGCATTTGCTGCTAATTAATTAATTATACTATATCCCTTGTCTTTCTTTAATCCTGCCCCTAAATTTGAATTTACTGACTGTATGTACCTTTAAACTTTATAACATTAGTATTATTTTCTTACATTTCACTTCACTGCATGGGTTTCCTACCCATCCAAATATTAATCTTTGAATTGTACATAATTAAGTAATGTTATTAGCTAGTTCTTCTTTGCTTGTACATATGTATTGAAGTCTGCCTTAAATGCTGTGCATACAATGGAGTTTTCACAGTTATTATTTACTGTACCTATGGCCGGACCCGGGAGTAGAAAAACCTTTGGATTATGTATTATTATTATTATTTATATTTTATTTTTATTGTTATTATTAGTTATTTAGTTGACTTCATATCATGAAGAGTTTAAGAGAAATGTGGAACTGGGTGTTTAAGTTTTTTCTTCTAGGGGGGGTGCTTTGATGCATGTGAAGGGCTCCTGATTCAGTGGATGAGAGTTGCTGTCCTCTTCTTTGAATTAACTTGATTACTTTCTATTCCCAGATGTGTCATGACCCTTTTGGTTTTAGTGTTGTCCCAGAAATATATACAGTATTAATGCCAGTGTTTTTTAGAGGTGGGTCTGTTGCAGGTGTTATGTTAGTCACAAAAACATATTGTAGCTACTGTGTGATGTAGAGCTCTCTCTCTTTTTTTGTGATTGCTTTGCTTGTAGAGAGACTATATACTCTAATTTAAAATACTGTTATCTTGTCAAGGAATGCTGTATAGATCAAGTATATTTTTTTATACAACTATTTCGAGCTCTATAACCTCACCACTGACATTAAAGCAGTGATTGTGTTGTGGATATTCTTCTTAAGATCTCCAAACCTATTTCAGTAGACTTAAAAAGTTCTGATGTGACTTTTAAGTGTTACCAAAATGGCAGGTGTTTTAGGAGTACCTTTGTCATTCTCAGTACTGTACAGTATTGAGAGAGCTTTTTCACCTTCAAACTCCAACTTGTCACTGAACACAGGCTCTCCATATGACTCCAGCAACACTTCGTCAGCCTTGTTGGCATCTTCTGGCATACTGTTCAGCCTGTGAATATCTGGAATTGTCCCTTAAACCATGTAAGTCGTTGACCCATCCAGACCAGAATTATGTTCTTGCATTTCTTTGTTCATTGAATATCAGCATAGATGATACAGGAATTAAAAAAACCATCAAGGATTTCACTGGAAATACGTTAGTCACTTTGTCTTTTGGGTTATCCTGGGTAATTTACACTATGTATGATAATTGTACCTGTATGCACCTGTGCCTAAAAAAACTTAAGTAAATCAGGAAGTTAATGACCAGTCTTGTTTTGGATTTTGTTCCTCATCAGTAATATGTAAGAAAACAAGTTTATATTTCAATGGAATACAATTGTATTACAAAGATTAAATAGTATAGGTTGTGTCATGCATGGAAAAGCCCATAGTTATTCAATACATTTTGAGCAGACTCAAAATTATACACTTCTTAGAGTGTTGTGATAGAATGGTTAAAGTAGATTATACAAAAAGCTTAGCATAATGCAAGTTGTATGAAGATAAGATTAATTACAAGACTTATCATCACTAGGCAAGGCCTGGTCATGGGCAGCAGGGGCATTGACCTTCAGAACACCCTCCAGGTGTACCCGTCCTTCATACATAAGAGGAGTTACCAAAAGAACACCAACTGTCTTCAAGAGGAAACTGAATAAGTTCCTCATGATGTCAGGTCTTGATCAACCTGGTTGTGGTGGATACATTGGAATGTGTGTGGATAGCCACCAACAGCTTGGTTGATCAGGCCATCCACCAGGAGGCCTGGTCTGGGACCAGGCTATGAGGGTGTTGTCTCAGAATATACTTCAGGTAGACTCCAGGTCAAGAGTACCTCATTGGAACCAGGTTCACTTTGTCAGTGTGAGGAAATGATTAGGAATAGCTCTCACAGGTTCATTGCTATCATTGAATAATATCATTATATCCTATCCTTGTATTACCATTATCATCATCTACGTATACTTAGGTAACTTTTTTTTTTTTTTTTTTTTTTTTTTTTTTTTGTAGCTTCAGTCATATTTTCAGGCTATTCTTGGATATCCACTTCAAAATTATGATGATTTAAGTAATGGATTAATATAATGTGTATGCTACACTGATAATGTTTCGTTCATATAGAGGTTAGTTGATAAATGTCTTAATAAAATGCATCTTTGGTGATATTTGGAATGTGATAAAATAATAATATAAGCACCACCACTATGTTGTACAGTGGTACCTCGAGTTATGAACTTAATTCATTCCAGAAGCTGCTCGAGTGCTGATACCGAACGAATTTGTTCCCATAAGGAATAATGCAAATTAAATTAGTCTGCTTCAGACCCCCAAAAATGCATTTACATAATTGTTCAAGTTGGCAGCTGTTCGAAACTCGAGGTACCACTGTATATATTATTATTATTGTATTATTTGCTGTATTATTATTGTTGTATTATAATATTCATGGAAAAGCATTGAGCTGAGCCCATAGGGGTCACTCCATGCCTGGGGAATGGAAGGTAAGCAGGTTTGATCTAAGGCATGGGAGGTTATTTCCAAATCCTTGTAGTATCAAGATCCCTTTGTTAGCATGAAGGCACTTTCTTATGAAGGACTACAATAATAAAGAATTTAGTCAAATTACTGTGCAGTTGACAGTGGGCCCAGCATCATCTAGAAATATTTACAGAAATAAATTCAGTAGCTGTAATTTTATTTTTGTCACTGTTAAGTCAGATTAGGTACTAATGGCAGTTGATCCAGCAGTGGGAGAGCCAAGAATGTACATAAAAGTACAATTATCATACATAATAACATGTGTAAATTACCTAGGATAGCCCCCCTCCCCCACTAAAAAAAGAAAAAAAGACAAACTAACCTGGGAATTCATGTCAGTTTTTATTTTATTTTTTTTATTATTATTATCACACTGGCCGATTCCACCAAGGCAGGGTGGCCCGAAAAAGAAAAACTTTCACCATCATTCACTCCATCACTGTCTTGCCAGAAGGGTGCTTTACACTACAGTTTTTAAACTGCAACATTAACACCCCTCCTTCAGAGTGCAGGCACTGTACTTCCCATCTCCAGGACTCAAGTCCGGCCTGCCGGTTTCCCTGAATCCCTTCATAAATGTTACTTTGCTCACACTCCAACAGCACGTCAAGTATTAAAAACCATTTGTCTCCATTCACTCCTATCAAACACGCTCACGCATGCCTGCTGGAAGTCCAAGCCCCTCGCACACAAAACCTCCTTTACCCCCTCCCTCCAACCCTTCCTAGGCCATTTTATTGCACTGGTCCTTTCTCTTCAGATTGTAGTTTTATATGAGCAGTAATCAGGTTTAATTCCAGGAAGAGCTACCATCCTTTTCATATCAAACCTGATTCCCTCCCATTTCCCATTTTACTCTATGTTCCACTTCACATATATGATCCCTGTGGGTTTAGCACTCTGTCATGGATAGTCTCATAATAACTACTGCTCGAACAACTCGTTTTCTGACTTATTTAGAATGAGTATTGTGTAAATATTTGTAAGAACAGAAAAGTGATATTTTGTAGGCCAATAGTATAGACATTTTCCTTTTGAAACTTTAATCTTTTAGAGTGAGTTGATATTGTAATTTCTGGTTATTGGATGTGCTTTCAGGTTTTAGGTGGTGACTATGAGAGATGGCTGATGCACTGCTACATGCAGAACTGCTGGCTGCTTGCTCTGCCTTGGGCTACAGCGATGGGGCCAAGTATCACAAGGAGGCTGATTGTCTGGAAACCACCAAAGATTTAGTTCGCTACCTGAGGAAAGACGACGAGAGCCATGAAATTCGTCGTGCACTTGGAGAGACACGTGTCCTGCAGACGGACTTGCTTCCCTTGATACGAGACCACAGTCATGAAAGTGAATTGTTTGACATAGCAATCAGGCTGCTGGTGAACCTAACCAATCCAGTTCTTCTATTGTTTCATGAGGAACTTCCAGAAGAGAAAGTAACTAGACAACAGTTCCTTCAGTTGGTAACTCAGCAGCAGGGTTACAAGGAAGCATTTATAGATGAAAAGGTTTGGAGTGTCTTAGTGGGCAAGCTAGGTGAGTTGCTGCAGCTGGAGTGGGATGAACGACAGGAAGAGGACAAACTGCTCATCGAAAGGATTTTGATCCTTGTGCGTAATGTTCTGTCTGTCCCTGCTAGCCCAGAGGAGGAAAAGAGGACTGATGATGACGCATCTATTCACGACCAGGTGCTGTGGGCGCTACATTTGGCTGGATTTGAAGATCTTCTTCTCTATATTGCTTCATCAGAAAATGAACAAGAGTTGTGCATGCATGTCCTAGAAATTATTTCCCTCATGCTGAGAGAACAGGATGCATCAAGGCTGGCTTTGGCTGGTTTACAGCGTTCACAGTCAGAGAAGGAGAAGGATGAGCAGGAATTACTTCAGATGCGCCAAAGAGAAGCAATTAAAAAGCAGCAGCAGAGACGGAAGTACTATGGAGCTCGACACTCTAGATTTGGCGGCACATACTATGTCCAGAACATGAAGAGCATCAGTGATCGTGATCTCATTTCTCACCGGCCAATAACTGACATAAAGTCTCTCGACTTTGACCATGCCAAGCGCCCCAAAAAACACAGTAAAAACAGAGTTCCACTGCGTGAGAGCAACATGACAAGGAGGTCAACTCTTGCCATCAGACTCTTTTTGCAGGAATTCTGCATCGAGTTCTTAAATGGTGCGTATAACAGCATTATGTACATAGTGAAAGATAACCTTAACAGAGCACGGGCACAAGAGCACGACGAATCCTATTATCTATGGGCAATTAAATTCTTCATGGAATTTAATAGATATCATCAGTTTAAAATTGAGTTGGTCAGTGAGACCTTGAGTGTTGAGATATTTCATTACATTCAGACACACTTGGAGAATTACTTTGAGATGATGGCCACAGACAAGAAGAAAATACCATTGTGGTCACGGAGAATGCACAAAGCCCTGAGAGCATATCAGGAACTCCTCATGACACTGGCATCTATGGATAAGTCACAGGTCGAATCTGTGCGAGAATCTTCAAAAGTTCTAAAGAGTAAAGTCTTCTATGTCATAGAGTACCGTGAAATGGTCTTAATCCTACTGCAAAATTTTAACCCATTGCTGATGACACCAGCCTATCTCAAGGATGCAATAGAAACAGCCCATATTTTCCTGAAGCTTTTGGAAGGCTTTTGTGGAAAGAATAGGCATATTATGGTGCAGCATATGAAAAAACCTAAGAAAAAAGCTGTTTCAAGAAAGGCTCCTAGTACTGAACTAACAGAAGAGAAACTGCAAGATCTCTGGGATCAGATTTCCTCAGAGTTATCAGCAATTGTTCAGGGTGAGGCAGGTGAACTTCCAGATACAGTACCCTTTGATACTCTGTCAGAACAACCTGAAGAGGAACAGAAAGAGTTAGCTATGCGGAGGATAAACAAATTGCTGCGCAATAAAGAATTAGCTGAGGCAGTGTCATTAATGCGGTCATCGAGAGAAGTGTGGCCAGAGGGAAATGTGTTTGGCACCCAAGATATGGAGCCCTCTGAAGAGTTTTTATCTCTGCAGGAAGTATTCATGGCAAATCTGAATCCGGTAGAGGAAGTAACTCCAGAAGTTTATGAAGACAGTGATGAGGAAGATGAAGAGGAAGAGGAGGAGAGCTTGATGCACATCAGGGAAGAGGAGTTCAATTTTCTTGAATTTGTGCGCCGCTTTGCTAACACTAAGGTGATGCAGGCATACTCCAGGCTGTTTAAAAAGTACCAGTCCAATTCTGAATACACAAACCACTGCATTTTGAAGATGTACCACCGTATTGCTTGGGACTGCAAATTACCTGCCATATTTTTCCAGGCATCTTTGTTTTGTGTATTTCAACAAGCTATGGAAGATCCACGACAGACTACCAATGAATCCGCTAAAGAAATTGTAAAGTTTGCCAAGTATATTTTTCGCAAGTTCCTTAAAGTAGCAGAAACTAATACCAAAGTGTTTGTAGAGTTGCTGTTTTGGAAAACAAATAAAGATGCTCTAGAAATTGAGTGTGGTTATGCTGAACAATCTTCGGGTAAACAAGCACTGAAGCATGCATGGAAAGAGGAAGAGGTGGAGGAGCTGAGGAGGCTCTTTGAGGAGTTTGAGTGTGCTTCTGGTGAAAACAATGAAGGCAAGGATACTATTGACTTGATTACGGAGAATCTCATCAGTCAGACCAGGAGTCGTCGTATGGTCTTCAAGAAACTGAAGGAAATGGGGCTTATCACTGATATGAAACAGTTTAGAAAAAAATCCTCTAAGCCACGGCCACCTAGAGTGTGGTCTGAGGAGGAGGAAGACGAGCTACGAACACTTTTTGATAAATATAAAGACGCTATGGATATAGTAGGGAGAATCATTGATGATATGGTAGTAAAGAGACCAAGGCAGCGAATCATTGAGAAGATTTTGGATCTTGGTCTTGTAGCAGATAGAAAAGAACTGCATAAAAAAAGAGCCAAGAAAGGCAAATCCCAAGGATCCAGAAAACATATGGGTGAAAATTTCTTAACTGCCAATCAAGCTAGTGACGATGGAGGTAGTGAGAGAGAAGGCGATGAATCGGATAATACTGATAACAATGACGAGTCCTCAAGCAGAAGAATTGTCTCCAAAAAGTCTTTACAGCCACCTCCTTCATATGTTGCTCCTGTTGTCACACCTGCTTTGATTTCTCAAGCATTGAACAGTGTTCTTGAAGCAAACATGCAGGAAGCAGTAGATTGGCTCTCGAGGATCTTGCAAGATGTAGCGGATGATCGCGAGGAAGATGATGAGTTTGAGCCTGTGCAGTTCTTGCCTTAACAGAAGCCTGCACCAGTGCCATGGAAAATGAAAGTTTCCACAAGCTCTTAAAACTCATTGGGATCCGACCTCCACAGGGTCATGAGGAGATGTTCTGGCGTGTGCCATCCTGCCTCTCAGTTGTAGCACTCCGCAAGAGAGCACAATATCTTGTGCAGGGAATATCTGGAAATATTGCTGACTCTGAAAATGCTAATGAACCTTTGGAACCTGTGGAAAACTCACAGTTTACGGAGGAAACTGCACAGAAAAATACGAAAAATCCAAAATCTTCAAAGTCCAAGCATGCCAAACCCAAACTAAAAACTCAGAAACAAAATGTATCAAAGATTGTGGATGTGGACTTTCCAGACTCTGAGAACATTAATCCTGAGGATAAGGAAAACTACTGTCCTGAGCCACTGCCATTGCTGGGAGGCAATACTGCAGAGAATAATTGTGATGTCCCACATCTGCTGAGGGAGCAGATAGGAAGTCACTCCAGTGATGATATTCCCCTTTCCTCTACCAGTGACCCAATATCAGCATCCTTAAAGAGAAAGAAATTAAATATAAGTGATGAAGAAGAAAGAGATGGAAATTTGGAAACCCAGCCTGTGCATGGAAAAAAGGCAAAGAAGCGTCGTTTTGTAATAAACGACGATTCTGACGACGATGTTTCAGCCTTGGATAGTCATGATCTTGTACTGCATCTAGATACCGAGTTGACTGTAAGTGACAAACATGCCAGTGATCAAGGTACTTTAGGCACTGTAGATCACTGTGATGAAGAAATGACTGTCAGAGAAGTTTCTAGAAGAGGGAGGATGCTGGACTCTGATTCTGAAGATGATATGACACTAGCTGGTGGGAAGCCAAGAGCTAGAGCAATTATAGACAGTGATGATGAATGATTAAACTAGATATAGGAAGGTAGAAAAGCAAATTGTATCATGTATAGCACTGAGATAAAATAATATTTTTGTAATGAATTTCTACAAGTCTGTATTTTAAATTTCTTTTAATCATAGTACAGTAATTCAAAATTATCTTTTTTAATAGCATGTGGGGGCCTGATGTGTCTGGCATCTGTGCCTCTGTCTTTATTTTTACCTTTCTTTCTTTTCTGTCTCCCCGTTCTTTTTAACTTCTTTTTTTTTTTGTATTTTCCCCTTCTAATTTAAAAATAACCTTTATGGTTCTTGAGGATTAAGAATAAGAGTTCCTGCCATATATAATAGTATTTTTAAAGCTAAAAGCTCTCTTGTATAATTCCACAAATTTAAAACTTAAACTTAGAATAAGGATTTAAGTGCATTTATGAGGAAACCAGAACATGATCCAAGCTTTCATCTTTGTTTTAACATTTTCAGGGGTTATTTTCTTGAGAAAATTGTATAACAATTACTTTGAAGTAGGGTATGTGAATAATTATTTAAATTCTCTAAATTCTTGACAGTTTTTTTGAGTTTTACAAAATGTTAATATTGAGTTTTATATGTCCCCAAATTTTTCAATAAATAATAAGTCTTCCAGAATTTTATTTTTATTTTTCATTTAGTGGGGGTGCCTTGATGCGGGTGAAAGGTTCTTGATCCAAGGGCTTGACATAACCCTTCTCTTATGTGGATGAAGCCTGCTTATCCCCCATTACCCAGGTGCTGTGTAACCTCTACATGTTTAGCACTTCTCCATGAATATAAAGATCGTCCTGTCAAACTTTTGGAAGTCCTCTACATTCACCTTTAACTGTATCTTGAAATTAAATAAAAAAGCTCCATATAACAGAAGAGTGAGTAGCAGTGAATGGCATTTGTGGTAGATAAAGAAGAGTTTGTTTTGATGTGATAGTACCCATAAAAGACACGTAACCAGTGGACTTGTACACAAATAACCCACACGTAGGAGAGGGGCTTACGACGATGTTTCGGTCCAAATAGGACTGAAACATCATTGTTGGCTTCTTTCTCTTATGAGTGGGTTATTTGTGTAGTGTTCCATTTATGGTATTGTGCCTTTTTGTTCCCAGTGGACTCGGTCTACTGTTTTTGAATCTCATTACCCATTTTTCCAGAGTCCATTGTATAGAGGTGTGATATATTGAGGGTTTACTGCAAGTTGCCCAGAAAAGCATTGCATAATTAGTGACCTTTTTTTGTGCCTACTGTTGTATTTATTAATTTTAACTACTATACATTATTTGTATGGCTTCAAGAAATAAACATTATTATCATTATCAAACTTTTTCCATAGCTTGGATGGTATTAGTTATACCAGTTCATTATACCAATTTATAAAACAGTACAGGAAGGTCCTCAATTTACAGACGAGTTGCATTCTTGCAGTTTCCATATATGTACTTATACAAACAAAGTCGTTTTTAGCCAACAACATTATGAAAGGTGGTTAGGTTCCTATTGTGACTCACTGGCTGTAAAACATTAGTTAATTTTTAAGTGAAACATTTGTGGTGGATTGAGAACTTCTGTTTTTTAATTGTGGTATTCAAGGTGTGACCAAATCTGAAATCTGACCATTTGATTCCCTTCAGTGGGAGTCTATTAATGCTAGTAAAGAGCTCTTGATCCAGTGAATTGGAGCTATCCTCCCTTGAATCGAACCTGATTACCACCCATTCCCTCAATCACTGAATAATTTACTAATGGATATAGGAATATATTAGTTTGGTAGAAGTGTTGTGAACAAGTTGAAGAGGTTGTGTTTACGAGACAGAAAGAAAAGATCAGTAAACCTGCCAGAATGCAGTTGGGGAGTGTCATGATGCTAGTCATTCAAGGTGGTGCCATGATGCTGGTGAAAGCTTCTTGATACTTGGGTTTGAAGTTGCCCTTACCTTATGTGGCTCTTGATTGAAGGAATTGGAGCTGCTATTTATGTCCTTGGACCAAGCCTTATTGCTTCTCATTCCCTATGCAATATATAACCTCTGTGGGTTTAGCACTTCCCTGTGAACATTGTTCTCAATATAGTGCTCCACAGTGGTACAGTATTGTCATAGAAATTTGTCTGATTCACTGCTAGAGCTTACCACTATGTAGGCAACCATATTTAAAAGCTAAGGTGTTCTTCAGTATTCATTTGTCTGAAAAAGTTTTGCTTTCTGATATATCATGACTTAAAACACACTTTGTGTTTCTAAACCACTCTTACAAAATCTTGATTAATTTTTTTTAAATTTAGGCTTTGACATATTTTTTCGTTGCTCTAAGCCTTCTTTGATAGTGTTGTTGTATAGAACAATACAGTGCTGTATATCTTAACTGAACATCATGCACAGTTAATGCACAATTATGGTAATTGACACAGTTTAAAAAGACACACGAGTAAAAATTAGGATGTACGTATTCATTAAAAAATGTTTTGGTTTGACGTGACCTAGGTCCCAGAACTGAAATGTTTCCTAACATATCCTAGTGTTTGGTCATGAGCTTTTTTTTTTTTTCTCTCTAAATCATTGCTGTTCTAACTCTAACCCCTTACTTCACACACTACAATAATCCACTTTCTGCTGAATATTGGGGGAAATTCTTTGTGTCTTGCCAAACATTGCACTATCCAGTTCAAGTTCTAAAAGTTGTTTAAAAGGCACAAAAAGCACAAAAAAAATGTTCAACAATGTCCAGATGGCAAACATGTTTTCAGCATAGGCAGTCCAGATCAAAATACTGTACAGTATTGTAGTTTGTCAACTTTCTTCCAGTATTGGTGGTGTTGAGAGGTATTAAAGAATTCAGGGCCAACTGCCTTTCAAGGGAAGGGGTGGGGTTGTCTTGATATTAATGAAGGGCTTTTTATCCAGGGAATTGGAGTTACCCTCCCCTTGGATCAAAAATGGTTACAGCCAGTTCTGTAAACCTCCTCTATATAGTGCAATTTCTTGCAAATGCAATTGATAGTGTTAATCAAAAACTGAATGCCAACTACTATTAGAACCTTTCCATACAATATTTAGTTTTGGATGTACTTTTACAGTCACAGTTGTGAAAACTTGCACTATATAGAGGATTCCATGAGACCTTTATGAGCCCTTTGTGGTTTAGTGCTTCCTCATACCTATAATAATTAGGTAGAATTATCAGGAGTGCACAGTACAGCTAGTAACAACTCTGAAAGAGCAACTACAAGAGATCTTGATGGACCTGTCCTAGTAGAAGTGGCATTAATACTTGACCTTGCTGAGCACTTTACAACAAAGGTATAGCAAGTCCTGAAAGCTATGTTGAAGTTTGTCAGTACTTGGTAGCAGTTGTGTTTACTCATTGCTACATTGATTTGATATTCCAGTGATAATTTTCTATGATTATTTTTTTTGGTAGACACATCATTGTGTGTGAATTTGCAACTGACCTTGAAAGTGAAAAACTAAAACTACTGTCTCTATACTTAACCCTTTCAGGGTTTCGGATGTACTAGTACGGCTTACGCACCAGGGTTTTTGACATACTAGTATTCCTAAATTCTAGTGCCCTCAAATCTAGTGAGAGAAAGCTGGTAGGCCTACATATGAAAGAATGGGTCTATGTGGTCAGTGTGCGCAGTACCTAAAAAAAAATCCTGCAGCGCACAGTGTGCAATGAGACAAAAAAAACTTTGATCGTGTTTTTGGATTAAAACAGCGTCTTTGCACTGTATTTTCGTATGGTATTTATTGTTGTATTCTAGTTTTCCTGGTCTCATTTTATAGAATGGAAGACATATTGCAGAAATTGAGATGATTTTGACTGGTTTGCAAAGAAAAGTACCTTGAAATTGAGCTCAAAGTTGCAGAAATGTTTGATTTTTGCCAAAGTTCAAAAGTAAGCAAATCATGCTAAACGTTCAATACACGTCAACTGGTGAGTCTAATATTCTTTCACAAGTGCTCCCATATTATTTATACCATTTCTACACTAATGCAGTAGTCTGCATAACGGTAAATCTTCTATTTTTTGTGAGAATAAAAATTCAAAGTGGAAAGCAAAAGAATGTAAGAGGGGCGTGGGGACGTGATTAATGAACAGAGGAAATGTTATTTTAGTGCCAGGAATGTCTTTCTTGTTTATTCTGGACCCTGTTTGGAAATTGGCATCTTTTGAAATTTGTGTGAAATTGGCAAAATTGCTAAATTCTGACCACTGTACTGGATAGTTGAAATCTGTAAATGGGTGGTTTCTTGTACTCATTCGATAGAAAAAATGGAGTTATAGCGAAATAGTTATGATTTTTGTCGACTAGTACACTGGAATTGGCCGAAAATAGGGCTGAAAGTGGGCAAAATCGCCAACTTCATAATTCCGTAAGTTTTCCATCAAATTTCATACTTTTGGTGTCATTATGATTGGGGAAAGATTCTCTATCTTTTCATGTGATTTTTTTTTTTTTTTTTTTTTTTTTTTTTTTAAATTTGGGTGACCCTGAGAACAAGTCTGAGAGAGGGCCTGGGGACCCTGAAAGGGTTAATGTACTGTAGTATATATTTACATTGCCTTATTGTTATTTTGTGCCACCTATCAAGTGTTAAATTCCATCAGTCATTTATTACTCCACTTGCCAATAGTGGAAGGATTCACACAGTATTTATATACATATATTGTTTTGCATAGGATTTTTGCATCAGCAGCAGGTATATTGATATAGCTGTTTACTTCATCTTCCAAATCTCTTACCACAAACTTGGCTGTTGTGTATAGGCCAACTCCTAGCCAGTTGCCTAAAAAATTATGTGACATATTTTGTGCATATGTCAGCCATAGTTTTTTGAGGGTCAGTAGGATGACATTCTGCCACTTTATTCCTAATGTCAGCTTCCCCTCACCTCCTGACCCACATGTTTGAAAATCTATGTTTAGTACTGTAGTATGGTATTAGTACTGTAGTATGGTATTAGTACTGTAGTATGGTATTAGTACTGTAGTATGGTATTAGTACTGTAGTATGGTATTAGTACTGTAGTTGGTTTTTACGGAAGATTTCTTAGGACGGATTGTACTGTTATGGAATTGTATATTTTTCTGTAATTGGAAACACTTTTTTTTCATTCTTGTATGGGTATGTTCTCTGTGGATTGTAAAACTTAATTAAGCTGGATTAGATTTTTTTAATATTATTATTTGTAATAATGGGTTTGAACGTTGGATTGGTATTAGTATGATTGATTAGTACAGTAGGTTGGGATTCAGTCCTGAGGATTATATAGTACTTTTTAAAAAAAGTTTTTTGGAAGATTCTTGTTTCGCCGATTTTTTCAAAGGGTCCCAAAAACAGTAAGTTGTAACTAATTTTTTTTATTAAAATTTTTTCTATTCTTTATGGTTTCCCTCTTTCGTGTTTAATAACTACCAAAAACTTTTAGACTTAAAAAATTAAATTTTTAAAATTGGGTTTTCAGGGGTTGTCCTATGTGCCCGCAGCATTTTCATCCGGTAAAAGTTTCTTCTAAAAATTTAAAAACCCCTTCAGAAAATTCAAATTCTTGAAAGGTTAGAAAAATTTATCTAGGAATGTTATTTACTGTTAGAAATTAGAACCTTGGTGTATTTTTTTAATCTTCATACAGTATACTATTTGTTATTGACTATCTAGCTTTCTAATGTCTCTGTACTTGCCCACTCATGTCTGTCTTTAAATTAGTTATTATGCATTGGGTGATCCTTTTTCTGTTAGATTTGGTATTTATGATATTTTTAGCTAGCTATAAACTGAGTGTTTTTATCAACCTGTAAATTTGGCAGGTTTTTTTTTATCTGTGAAATGAGGAATCTTGTGGTATAGTGTCTAGCATGCTTGCTATACATGCTGCACACAGACAAAGTGTAAGTCTGTTTAGGTACAGGTACACACAAATACTGTTACACAAATTATCATACATAGTAACATATATGTAAATCACCTAGGATAACTCAAAAAGTGAGTGGAGTGAAGGTGAGGTTCTAATACTGGGAAAGGTAAGATAATATGGGCTAAGTTCCTTTACCCACCTTGTCATATACAGTGGACCCCCGACTTACGATATTAATTCATTCCAGAAGTCTGTTCAGGTGCCGTTACCGAACGAATTTGTTCCCATGAGGAATATTGTAAATTAGATTAGTCCGTTTCGGACCCCCAAAAATACACATACAAAAGCACTTATAAAAATACACTTACATAATTGTTCGAGTTAGGAGCTGATCGTAAGGCGGGGGTCCACTGTATATCAGTAATTAGGGAAACAGATGGACAAGCTATGTTAGCAGGTCTTGTGTGGACATAAAATACATACTAGGTTTAGACTTTATTAACCTTGTTGTTCACCATGCAGTAACAATCTGTAGCAGTATCAAAGGCCTAGTTAATCTAACATAGAAATGGGAAAGAATTACACTATATATTAGAGAACATACTGAGAAGAATGACTAAAATGATTTACTGTGTAAGGAACCTCCCGTATGAAGATAGACTCAAAGCTTTAAATCTCCACTCTCTGGAGAGGCGTAGAATGAGGGGAGATATCCTTGAAGTGTATAAGTGGATGACGGGCATAAACAAGGGAGATATTAATAAAGTACTGAGGGTGTCGAACCAGGTAAGAACCAGGAATAATGGATTTAAGTTGGATAAATTTAGATTTAGAAAGGACATAGGTAAGTACTGGTTTTCTAACAGAGTTGTAGATGCGTGGAACAGTCTTCCCAGTGGGGTGATAGAGGCTAGGACCTTGGGTAGCTTTAAGAAGAGACTGGACAAATATATGAGTGGGAGGGGCTGGGTTTGATTGGTGTCATTGGGTACGGGAGTTATTTCTAGGGAAGCTTTAGGTAGTAGTCGTTTTGATAAGGACCTGCCTCGCATGGGCCAGTAGGCCTTCTGCAGTGTTCCTCCATTCTTATGTTCTTATAATACCACAGGGATGCCAAAAAGATTTGTACTTGTCTTATTGAGTCAGTTAAATTTTACTTCCTAGAATTGCAGGGTGTTCATTCACCTCTTGTATTGCACTTTTTTGTACATTGTAAGGAAAACCCCTTGTTATGCAAAACATTTTGGGCAAACTAAAGCTAGTACTCTGAAAAAAAGAAGAAAAAAGGCACAATACCATGACTGGAACAATACACAAATAACCTGCACACAGGAGAGAGAAGCTTATGACTTGCAAATGGTCTAAGTCAGACCAGAACGTTGTCGTAAGCTTCCTTCTCTTATGTGTGGCTTATTTGTTTAGTACTATGAACTACTTGATCCAAATAATCACACTACTATTGAATAAGATTACAATAGGGTGTGTGCTAGCAAAGTCCTTTTCAAACTATTTTTTACAACAGATCGATAACAGGTATGAAAATGCATGATTCTGCATGTGGTAGCTAAACTAAGAGTTTTGTATAGCCTCACAGGTGTTTAATCTATGTAACATCAACATTTGCACCTCTAGTGGCTCATAACACATCTAATCTTAAGCCAAAATGTAGATGTAATCTACATGGATTTCACGAAGGAATTTGACAAATGTAATCATGAAGTGACAAGTAAAACGAGGTCCAAATGGATATTCAATTTTCTGACAAATGGAACACACAGAAGAGTAGTAGTAAACAGAACAGTATCATTAGCAGAATAAAATGTTCAATGCCCTGAGTTATGGTCCTGGTGTCTCTTGTTTCTTATCCTCATAACAATCAAGGATAAGAGCACTAGTCATAGCTTAATATTTTGTTGATACCAAAATAAGCATGAAAGTCACCTTGGTAGATAACACAGAAAAATTGCAAGAGGATATATGCAAAGTCTTCCAGTGGGCAGAGGGGAATAAAATGATATTCAGTGATGATACATTCCAACTTCTCAGGTATGGAAAGAATGAGGAACTCAAAAGAGGCACTGTGTACATAATGCAGGAGTCTCACCAAATAGAACAAAAGAAGTTTGTGAAAGACCATAGTGTAATCATGTTGGCTGACCCAACCTTTAACCCTTTGACTGTTTCGGTTGTATATATACGTCTTACGCACCACTGTTTCTGACGTATTTATACGCGTAAATTCCAGCGGCTTCAAATCAAGTGGGAGAAAGTTGGTAGGCCCACATGTGAGAGAATGGATGTGTGTGGTCAGTGTTCACCACATAAAAAAATCCTGCAGCACGCAGTGCGTAATGAAAAAACAAAATGACCGTTTTTCTGGATTAAAACGTTGACTTTGAGGTGTATTTTCATATAGTATTTATCGTTGTATTCTCGTTTTCTAATCTCAGGTCATAAAATGGAAAACATATTACAGAAATAGAGATGATTTTGATTACTTTCACGATGAAAAGACCTTTAAAAATTTAGCTCAAAAATAGCAAAATGTTTGATTTTACAATGTTCGGGGGTAAGCAATCACACCACACATCCAATACACTTAACTGGGAAATTATATTCTTTCACTAGTGCATGATATTATTTATCCATTTTTACAATAATCAGTAGTTTTGCAACCAGTAAAATTTTTTATTTTTATGTATGAAAAAAAAATCAAAATAGAAAGCAGTAGTAATATAAGAGGGGCCTAGAGACGTGACTAATGAACAGAGGATATGTTATTTTAGTGCCGAGAATGTCTACATTGTTTATTCTGGACCCTGTTTTGAAATTGGCATCTTTTTTAATTTGCATGAAATTGGCCAAATTGCCAATTTCTGACCACTTTATTGGGTAGTTCAAATCGGTAAATGGGCGGTTTCTTGTACTCAACACATAGAAAAAATGGAGTTCTAAAGAAATAGCTATGAGTTTGGTCAACTGGAACAACGGAATTGGCCAAAAACGGCTCAAAGTCGGCAAAATCGCCGATGCGTATATGTCGCCGAGATCGTTATATATTCACGGGAGCGTAATTCCGTGAATTTTCGACCAAATTTCATACTTTTGGTGTCATTACCATCGGGAAAAGATTCTCTATCATTTCATAAGAACAAATAATTTTTTTTTTTTTTTTTTTTTCCAAAAATTTTAATGGGGGCAAGAATTAGTTTTCAGAAAAGGGCCTTCACCCAACAATGGGTTTTAAAAAACCAACAAAGCAAAAATGTCAAAACAAAGTCAGGAAACAACAGGGGCCAAAGTTTTAAAGGAGGGAATTTTAAATTTCTTAATGAATTTTTTAAAGTATTGTTCGGTTAAAAGCCCATTTATGGGAGGAAGAAAAAATCAGGGCTACAAAGACAGGAATATAAGGGGGCCAGGGGTTTATGGCGGCAAAAGGCCAGGTAAAGGGGATTTAAAAATTATTTTGGAAAACAATTTTTGGTCTGGGGGCTATTTACCCCCAAATGGAGGAAAGGAGAGAAATACATGGGTAATAGCATGTGGAATGGTTAAAAGGGCCCCCGCCCAAAAACCCAAAAAACTCCCATAAAAAGAAAGGAGAGAGATGGGAAAGGGGGTATAAAATGAACCTTTAAAAATAGGGGTCCGTGGGCCAAAAAAGAAAAGTGTAACAATGTCTATGGGGCTTAGAAATTTAGCATTTTACCCCGATGTCAGAAACATTGCGGGGCAAAAAGTTTGAAGTTTTTTAAAGAGGAAACTCAACCGTATCTTTTGGGCCAAAAATGCCCCGGGTTCTCTTGGGGGCTTTTTGCCAAACCAAAAATCAACACCTGGTTGAAACCCTTGGCCATGAAGTAAAAAGAAAAAATTTGACCCAAGGCCAGGCTATGAAAGGGAGAATAACCCTTTTAAAACCAGTCCAAAGGTTCATTTTATTTTAAAAGGGATTGGATTATATCACATGTGACCTTTTTTGAATTTCCTTTATGATTCCCAACGGGGATATTTGGGCAACCAGGGTCAGAAACCATAATCCTTCACAAAAACCCCTTTTTTTTTTTAAATTGCTATTGGGAACCCAAATTTCCCCTTGGCACAAAGTAATATTCCCGGACATATTTTAAAAACATCCTAGCTTTTCCCCTACTTGCATCTCATTTTTGAATTTTACCCAAAAAATTTAAAAGATACTGTGCCTTTTAAATTAAAAAATCTTTTAATAGGGGTTTCCCTTGATGCTTTGTAAAGGGACCTTCAGCCAAAGAACTGGAAACCCTCTTTCCTTGAAAATAAACCTAATTAAAAACCTGTTTCCCCCGGTAAATTGTTAAACCCTTTTTAGTTTTTCATACATAAATTTAAAAAATTTTTCTGTAAAAAATTTGGATGTTCCAGTGCTGATAAATTTTCATAGAAATAAGTTTTGGGACATTGGGAAATAACCCCTTTTGGGAAGATGCTAGTACTGGATGGGGCTATCCCGTTTTTACTGAGAGGGATGAGGCTTTTTTTTAAACCCAAAAAAATGTTAAAAATTTCCCGCCCATCAACTCTCATCCTAGACCTAAGAAGGGGGAAAAATTTTTTTAAAATTTTATTGCTTAAAAAATAAATATATGCTTGAGGTCCAGTTTTCTTCTGGAGCTGGTAGGGCCAGAAAAATTTTTGCTTAAACCAGAGGGCCAAATTTCAATGCCCCCCCGGTTACAATGATTTGGGGTTTTTAAATTTTTCACTCCAAAGTACTTCAGGACCCCTGTTGAGGGAAATTCGTGGAAAAATAAATTTTTTTGCATAATCCCCGCCCACGTTTTTTTTTTTTTGCTTTTGAGAGGATCGGTTTTTCTTTAAAAAGGGTGTGATTACTGTTTTAAAAGTTCTTCCAACACCTCTGAGAGAAGATGTGGGCCCCTTTTTCTTTCAACTCTTTAAAAACGGTTATTTTTGGATGTACCTCCAACTGCTTCTTTAAAACACAGTTAAGGTACAAACAATATCTTTTTTGAAGGGCCCCGGGGGGAAAGGTTTGGGGGCGGTAACTCAAAACCCCCCACTTTTGCCATGAAATGCGCACCCCGTTCCCCTGAAAACACACACACAAACCCAAAAATTCTTCACTATTTTTATGTCTGGGTTTCCCCGCTTTGTTGAAGCCCCAAAAATTTGAACTATTGTTTTTTATGTTTAAAAAAAATAACCCTTTTTCCCATACTCAAATATGTATAAAAACCCCAAAACCAAAAAGGGGAAAACCGGGACAAAAGATGGGCGGAATTGAGAGAAAAAAAGTACAACACTTCTTTCGCCATTTGGGAGCCAAGGTTTAAACAAAGAGGAAATCTGTGGGTGGGGCGGCAGGATGGGGATGTCAAAGTAATGGCTGCTACCCCCCGGATAAAAAACTGACGAAAAAAAAACCCCCGTATGGTTTTCCTTTGGGCTTTCCCTCACCCGCATTAGGCTGGGGGCGCTCCCCCGGGAAAAATGTTTCCCGTTACTAGCACTGTACATTAAAATAAAATAATATTTAAATATTAAAATATTAAAATATATTTTATATATATAAATATATAAATTATATATATTATTAAATTATAATATATATATAAAAAATATTATATAAAAATATATATATTAAAATTTTTAAAATATATAAAATAATAATATATATAATTATTATATACATAAAAATATATACATATATATAAAAATATATATATTTTATATATATATAAATATATAATTTAAAAAATAATTTATATAATTTTATATAAAAAAATTAAAATATAAATTTTTAAAATACATATATATAAATAAAATATATATATTTCCCTAAAATATATATATTATTTATATTAAAAATACAAAATAAAAATTTTTATCACATATATATAAAATTAAAAATTTTAAAATATATACATAAAATTTTATAAAATTTTTAATATAAAAATCCCTATTATATTAAATAAATATACATATAAAATATACATTTTTTTATAAAAATATAAAATAAAATAAAAAATTTAAAATACATATTTATAAATAAATTTTATATAGATATATATATATAAATAAAATATTTTATATAATATATATAAAAATTATATATTTTTAAAAATTTTATATAATATTATATATATATATATTATTAATATATATTTTATATAATATATATAAATTTTAAAATATATATATTTATATTTTTATTAAAATTATATTAAAAAAGTATATTAATTTTATATTTATATATTAAAAAATATATATAAAAAATATAAAAAATATATATTATTTTATAAAATATATTAAAATATATATAAAATTTTTATTTATATATATATATTATTAAAAATATATATTTTATATATTATAATATATATAAAAATATAAATTTTTTATATATTAAAAATATATATATTAAAAAAATATATATATAAAAATAAAAATATATATATTATAAAATATTTATAAAATAAAAAATAAAAAATTTTATAAAAAAATATATTTTAATTTAAAATAAAAAATAAAATTAAAATATATTATTTATATAAAAAAAATATAAATATATTAAAAATAATATATATTTTTAAAACCATTTTTATATATTTATATATTATAAATAATTTTAAAAATTTTATATTAATAAAATAAAAAAATATATATATTTTTATATTAATAATTTTATTAGTATTATATATATATATATATATTTTAAATATAAATATAATATATATATATATATATTAATTATAATATTTAAAATATTATATATAAAAATTATATATATATAAAAATATATTATAAAATTATATATTTTATATATATATATTAATATATATATTATTTTATATTATATAATTTTATAAAAATTTTATAAAATAAAAATATATATATTTATAATTATAAAATTAAAAATATATAAAATTATATTATTTATATATTATATATATTAAAAAATAAATAATATCTATATATTATTTTAAAAATATTATATATAAAAATATATATATATAAAAATATAATTTATATATATACTATATAATTATATTATAAAATATATATAAAAATTATATTATAAAAATATCTATTTATTAATATATATATATAAAATATATTTTATAAAAATATTAAAAAATAAAAAAAATATTAAAAATATATTATTAAACTTATTTATATATACTAAAATTTATTATTAAAATAAAAATATAAAAAATATATTAAAAAAATAAAAACTATAAAATTTTCTATATATATATATAAAATAAAAAATAAAATAAATATATATTTTTAATTATATAAAATATACTATTAAAAAAAAAATATATAAAATATATATAATATTATATAATATATATAATAAAATAATAAAATTTATATAATAAATATATATTTTAAAATCTATATAAAAATAATAATATATATATATAATATTATATATATATATATTATATTATATATATAAAAATTTTATATATTATATAAAAAATTAAAAACTACCCCCTTAAATATATTTTAAAAAAAAAAAAATAAAAAATCTAAAAATATAAATAAAAAAACTCTAAAAAATATAAAATATTTTAAAAAAATATAAACAATAATAAAATATAAATTTTATATAAACTATAATATTAAATAAATATTAAAAAATATTACTTAATATAAAAATATATATATTTAATCTATTTAAAATAAAATATATAATAAATTTACCCCACCCCAATATATATATTATATATAAAAAATTTTAAAAATATATTAAAAAATATTTAAAAAATTTTAAAATATATTTTGATATTTTTATTTTAAATAATTTTAAAAAAATATATTATAATAAAATTATATATATATAAATTATATTAATATTTTATATATAAAAATTTATATATAAAAATATATTTATATAAATATATATATATACTATATATATATATAAATAAAAAAAATAAAAATTTTATATATACTTTTTAAAATAAAAATATATTAAAAAATCTAAAAATTTAATATAATATATATATTATAACCCCCCCTTAAAATTTAATCCTAATATATTTATTAAATCTAATTAATTTTTAATTAATTTTAAAAAAAAATAATAAATAATTAAATTTAAAAAATTTGAAAAAAAAATTTTTTAATAAAATAAACTTAAAATTTTTTAAAAATAATTTAAAATTAATTAATAATTTTTTTATTAAATTTATATTATATTTAAAAGGGGAACCCCTTTTACGTTTTAAGGAAGGGGCCCCTTCCTTAGGAAATAACGGGGTTTTCGATTAAATTTCCCCCTTTTTTGAAATTTAAAAAAATTCATTTTCCTTTGGGGCCCCCGTTGAAAAAAAATTTTTTTCCCATAAACTGTTTTTTTTAATACAAAACCCCAAAATGAAAAAAACATTGAAATTCCCCCGACACCCCTTAAAAGGGGTTTTGGTGATTTTTTATGGGTTTTAGCAAAAAAGACAATTTCCCTTAACCCTTTTGGAAGGGGTTTCCCACTGGGATTTGGGACCCCGGGGTTCCCCCCAAACCCCTTTTCTTTAATTAACCCTTTTTCCCCTTTTTTTTCCACAAGGGGGCCAAAACTTTTTTGGGGCCCTGGACCTTGTTTTGCACCCCCAAAAACCCGTCCCAAAAAGCTTTAATTTCCGGGGTTTCTTGGGTTTTAAAAGGGCCTCTTGGGCAAAGGGAAACCCCCACAAAAGGGGAACGGCCTTGCAAAAGCGTTGGCGGGGGTTTTTAATAAAGGGTTTTGCGGGGGCAAAAAATTTGCACAAAATTTTAAACCTTTGAAGGAGAAAAAAGGGAATTCCCATGGATAGGCCCGGGGGGTTCCCAAACCCCTTAAAAACTTTTTAATTTTAATTTAATTTAAATTTTACCACATTGGATGGCTTTTTTTTCCCAAAAAAACACTTTTTTCCCCCCAAACACCCAAAAAAGAAAAAACAAAAAAAATTCCATTAAAATTTGGAAAATTTACAGGGAAGGGGGGGTTTAAAAAATAGGCCCCTTTTTGGGGAATTTGGCGCCTCTGGACAAAACGGTCTTCGGGGGTTTTTAATTTTATGGGGGGCAAAAAATTTTCGAAAAGAACTTTTGGGGAAAAAAGAAGGAAACCCAAGGGGGTATTTATTTTTTTAATTATAATTATTCTTTAAAATTAAATAGGTTTCAAAGTTGTTTTTTTTTTAGCAAAACCGGGCCCCCCAGCAATCCAAAAGAAAAAAAATTTCCTTTTTTTTAGGTTAATTTTCAGGGAAGGGTTTTATCCCCGGGGGCTTTCTTTTACCCCTCTTAAAACATGGTTTTGGGGGAAAAAATTTTTATTAATGGAGGTTGGTAAACAAGAACCCCCCTGGGAAGAAAAAAAAAAGGGGAAAAAAGGAAGTGGTTTTAAATGTTTTAAATGGGGGGAGTGGGGTCCCTTTTTTTGGTTTCCCAAAACCTGAAATTTGGGAGGGGGGGGGGGGGGGGGGGGGGGGGGTCCGCTCCCACTTTAATTTTCAATTAAAGGTTTTTTTACCCAAATTGGCAAACTAGTTAAACCCCTGGGTTTTTCTTCTAACCCTACTTTTTTTCCCTTATCCCTAAATGGAAAAAATTTTTAAATTTGGGGTTTAAAGTTTTAAAAAGCCAGCCCCCAAAGGGGTATAAACCCTTTTTCCGGAAATTTCTAAAAAGGAAAAAAGGGGAATTTGTTTTTTTTTTTGGGGAGCAGGTGGGGGGTTTTTTTGGGGTTTATAACCCGAGGATTTTCAGGGACGTTTTTTGGGGGCCTTCAATTAAAAAACCCCTTAGGTTTTCCCTTTTCAAACCCACCCAAAAATTGTACAAACAAAATTAAATTTAGTCCTGCTCCGGGCATTTTAGTCGCCTCTTAAAACACGCATGGCTTACGGAGGAAGAATTCTGTTCCACTTCCCCATGGAGATAAGAGAAAATAAACAAGAACAAGAACTAGTAAGAAAATAGAAGAAAACCCAGAGGAGTGTGTATATATATGCTTGTACATGTATGTGTAGTGTGACTTAAGTGTAAGTAGAAGTAGCAAGACGTACCTGAAATCTTGCATGTGTATGAGACAAAAAAAAAGACACCAGCAATCCTACCATCATGTAAAACAATTACAGGCTTTCGTTTTACGCTCACTTGGCAGGACGGTAGTACCTCCCTGGGTCGTTGCTGTCTACCAACCTACTACCTATAATACATGTATGTATGTATATATATATTATAGGTAGTAGGTTGGTAGACAGCAGCCACCCAGGGAGGTACTACCGTTCTGCCAAGCGAGTATAAAATGGAAGCCTGTAATTGTTTTACATGATGGTAGGATTGCTGGTGTCCTTTTTTCTGTCTCATAAACATGCAAGATTTCAGGCACGTCTTGCTACTTCTACTTACACTTAGGTCACACTACACATACTTGTACAAACATATATATACACACCCATCTGGGTTTTCTTCTATTTTCTTTCTAGTTCTTGTTTATTTCCTCTTACCTCCATGGGAAAGTGGAACAGAATTCTTCCTCCGTAAGCCATGCGTGGTGTAAGAGGCGACTAAAATGCCGGGAGCAAGGGGCTAGTAACCTCTTCTCCTGTATATATTACTAAATGTAAAAGGAGAAACTTTCGTTTTTCCTTTTGGGCCACCCCGCCTAGGTGGAATACGGCCGGTTTGTTGAAAGAAGAAGAATGTATATCAGTGGACCCCCGGTTCGCGATGCTATCGATATCTGATAAATCCGGTATCCGATGCATTATATCGCCAAAAATTTGCCTCAGTTCCCGTTACAAAACCCGGTATGCAATACGATTCGTACGAGACGTGTCCACGTGTGGCCTGAACTGCCCCGTGTGTGCCAGTGTTTACAAGCCAGCCAGTGTGTGCACATCTAAGGATACATTCGGTACATTCCATATTATCACTGTTTTTGGTGCTTGTTTCTGCAAAATAAGTCACCATTGGCCCCAAGAAAGCTTCTAGTGCCAACCCTGTGGTAAAAAGGGTGAGAATTAGTATGGAAATTAAGAAAGATTTTGAAGGGTTTGGGGCTAACCCTGAGAAGCCTATGCCAGTTGTGGAATCCATTGTGCCTACTTCAAAAATTAAGGAAATGTGTGCACAGTGGGTTGAACTGCAAACCTTTATGGATGAAAATCACCCTAACACAGCTATTGCAAGCCGTGCTGGTGACTATTACACTGACAATGTTGTGAACAACTTTAGGAAAGTCATAAAGGAACAAGAGGTACAGGCCTTTGTGGACAGATATGTTGTGCGACAAAAGTCCAGTGACTCTCAAGCTGGTCCTAGTGGCATTAAAAGAAGAAGGGAAGTAACCCCGGAAAAGGACTTGCTACCTCAAGTCCTAATGGAGGGGGATTCCCCTTCTAAACAATAGGTTCAACACACTCCCCTCCTCCTATCCCATCAATCATCACCAGATCTTCATTAAAGGTAAGTGTCAATTATTCTCTTGTTATTGTAATTATTCTTTTGTATTAAACTTAATATTTCACATGGTAAAAGTTTTTTTTTTTCATACTTTTGGGTGTCTTGCACGGATTAATTTGATTTCCACTATTTCTTATGGGGAAAGTTGATTCGCTTTCCAATAATTTTGGTTTACGATGAGCTCTCAGGAACTGATTAGTATCGCGAACCGGGGGTCCACTTTATATATATATATATATATCTTTCAACACACCGGCTGTATCCCACCGAGGCAGGGTGGCCCAAAAGGAAAAACAAGAGTTTCTCCTTTTACATTTAGCAATATATACAGGAGAAGAGGTTACTAGCCCCTTGCTTCCGGCATTTTAGTCGCCTCCTACAACACGCATGCCTTACGGAGGAAGAATTCTGTTCCACTTCCCCATAGAGATAAGAGAAAATAAACAAGAACAAGAACTAGTAAGAAAACAGAAGAAAACCCAGAGGAGTGTGTATATGTATGCTTGTACATGTATGTGTAGTGTGACCTAAGTGTAAGTAGAAGTAGCAAGGCGTACCTGAAACCTTGCATGTTTATGAGACAGAAAAATGGACACCAGCAATCCTACCATCATGTAAAACAATTACAGGCTTTCGTTTTACACTCGCTTGGCAGGACGGTAGTACCTCCCTGGGCGGTTGCTGTTTACCAACCTACTACCTAGGATATATATATATATATATACTGTATATATAAACTGATACACACACACAGTGTGTTTATATATAAAGAGTGGAACCCTGAATATCGGCCCCTGCATTTATCAGCCGATTCGTATTTAGGCTGGTTTTATTTTGCTCTGTATTTTGGCCGGTGCCTCATAAATCATCTGTATTATACGTGTCAGCCCGCCAGGATGCCACGCATAGGTGAGTCAGTCTCCTTGTGTCTCTTGGTTAACAAGCACATACTCTGCTGGTTCATCCAAACATTTCTGTAAAATTCTTTGGTTTTTGTGCTTGTTTATAAAGTGTGACTGTGAAAGAAGCCACCATGGGCTCAGAGTGCCAGCCTTTTGGTAAAGAAAGTGAGAAACACGATGGAATTTAAGAAAGAAGTTATTGAAAAATATGAGAGTGATGTTGAGTGCTAGAACTTGCCAGGATGTATGGGAAATCCAAATCAACAATCACTTCCATCCTGGCAAAGAAAGTAGAAATCAAGGAAGCTAATGTTGCAAAAGGGAGTGTGGAAGGGAGGCAGGGAGTGTAGCATGGAAACAGGGAGTGTGGAAGGAAGGCAGGGAGGGAAGTAACCCCAGAGAGGGACTTGTTACCTGAAGTCATTATGAAGGGGATTCCCCTTCCAAACAATAACCCCAACTTCCTCTCCCCTCCTACCCTTCCATATGCCAGCAAGAGTCTTCAATAAAGGTACATGTAATATTTATATTTATTTATTATTGTTTTGTGTGTGTAAAACTAGAGTTAAACTTTACAATTTTTTTTTATTATTATTTTTGGGTGTCTGGAATGGATTAATTGTATTTACATTAATTCTTATGGGAAATATGGCTTCAAATTTAGGCTGTTTCAAATATGAGCCAACCTTCTGGAACAGATTACGGTCGATATTCGGGGTTCCACTGTATATTGATAATGTTGATTTAAACTGGAATTATGATAGTTAACATCTTGGCCTTGACAAATTTTGAATAGAGGACTTTCTTTCCAGGTTTGTAGCTCGATGTTATTGTCTCAATTTTTAAATACGATACATTTACTACAGGTGCTCATTGTTGGTGGAGGGGATGGAGGAGTAGCCCGGGAGTTGGCCAAACACCCACTGGTAGAGGAGATCGTCCAGTGTGAGATTGATGCTGATGTAAGTTCTTTGCTCTTCTAATTGATGGAGAGCCAGTAAGGCCTTTTTTGTCACATTAATTTTGTTCCATATCTAATTATTTTTATATATATATAAATATTGTGTGTATAATTCAATATATGTTTTGTATTGAACAATGCTGTGCTGTTAAAACAGGCCATTGTAAATATTATTCAATTAGTAAACAATTCTCTCCCTTCCCAAAGCTTTGATATTTTATTGTAAGCATCTGTTATTACATATGTATATGTGTTATTTATTTTTATTTAATAAATAAATATGCAGGTGATAGAAGCATGCAAGACTTTCGTGCCATCTCTGGGCTGTGGATTCTCTAACCCTAAACTGGTGTTGCATACTGGAGATGGTGCAGAGTTCCTGGAGAAGACAGAAGAGAAGTTTGATGTGATAATCACAGATGCATCAGATCCTGTGGTCGGTGTTGATGAAGAGAATACTAAAGATGGTAAGATTCAGTTTGTATTTTTATCATATGCATTTACAGAAAGGCTGGACCTGACAAGTATGAGAGAGCTCTCTCATTGTTGTATCATCAGGAATCTGAGGGATCAAGGAGCCAAGAATTAAATAATGACATAAGGCAACATTAAATCTTAGCTTTTTGGGAGTTGTCTTTATATTGAAGGGCTTCAGGTTCAAGGAATTGGAGCTACCCTCCCTTGACGGTAATTACATCTCATTCATGAGGGATAGATGTCCCAGCAAAGGCTGAAGGGAAGAAGAGTGAAGGAGGTATTAACATTAGAGGCTTAAGCATTCAGCAAGCATGTGTGTTAGATTGGAGTGAGTGGAGACATATGGTTTGTGGAATTTGATATACTGTACTTTTTAGAGTATGAATCATGTAACACTTATAGATAGATTTAGGGAAACTGGGTAGTCAAATTTGAGCTCTGAAGGTGGGAAGTACTTATAATGTGTGCACTCTGGATAAGTGGCTATGTTACATACTGGAGAGTCATTTGAATTGTGATATCTGTGCATTTAGAGCATGCTAGCTATTAAATGAATGACAGTTATGTGTTCCCTACTTTGGGTCATCCTACCTTAGTGAGGAGACAGATGCCATAGTAACAAAAATCTTTGTAAGTCAGATTTTGAGTATATACTGTATTTATCACCAGCATGGAATCCATGCCTTTCAGATACATATATATATGAGAATGTCTAGAGATTTACTACCTGAATTCTAAGGAGAGGCTAAAAGAGTTGAACCTCATGGCACACACTGGAGATGAAAGAACGAATGGGACACTGGATGTAGTTTTTTTTTTTTTTCAACAAGTCGGCCGTCTCCCACCGAGGCAGGGTGACCCAAAAAGAAAGAATGTAGTTATAAATATAAATTATAGCAGGATGGGAGAGAGAGAGAGCAGAAATCCTCTAAGCCATTTATTGTTCAAATATAAATATTGTATGTTGAATCTCATGGTTTTTGAGACATTTCATTGCTTGATAAAGTGGGTTAGAAGGGACCAAGAACTGGTGCTTGTTGCCTATGAATACAAATGAGTACACATATCAGATGTAGTACATTGTGAGGGTGACACGCATATCACTTTTGTATGTAATGGGTATGCTACCATTTTTAGAGATACCAATAAAAAGGTTAAAATAAGCAAATATTTCAGGTCCTGCAGCCTCCCTCTTCAATGAGGATTATTACTCACGGATGAAGCACAAGTTAGCTGATGGAGGAATCCTCTGCTGCCAGGTTTGTCCCTTCTGATGTGACATCTTTGTTAATATATACAGCACAGTAACCTAAGACAAATTGAGATTCCATCACTTGTTTATAGTAAGGTAATTATTTACATGTGTTGTCACATAAGAAACAGTATTATCATGTAAGCACATTGAGGGCCCTTTTTTATGACATAAGACTGACCTATTCTGCAAAATTTGTTTTTGGTATTTAACAGGATTTGTTGTTTTATTTAATATGATAAGTTAAGCTCATTCCAGGAATACAAATGTTTGTTTTTACAGGGGGAGAGCATGTGGCTTCATGCCAAGTTGATTAGCCGCTTAGTCAAAAATTGCCGCAAAATCTTCCCTGTAGTGGAATATGCTTATACATGCACACCAACTTATCCTTCAGGGCAGATTGGCTTCATTCTCTGCAGTAAAAATCTTGTAAGTTAAAATTTCACACTTAAATGAAGTGAAATATAAATATTCTCTCTCCATCTTTGCCTTTCCCTCGCTTGTTAACTTTAGTTTCTCTTCCTGATGCATTTGGAAGGTTAACTAAATAGTGAATTTATTTTCCAATTTTGTGGAAGGATTTTCAATATATTGCCACTTTCCTTCCCCTTTTTCAAGTAATTTAGTTTTGTCTTGGACAAACACTCTAATAGCAACAGCTCTATACGACCCTGGTGGGTTTAGCGCTTAGTTTTGATTATAATATAGCAAGAGTCTTGACAGTAGTTTATTATTATTACAAACAGAACTAAGCGCTAAATCCAGCAGTTCAAGTTCTTTGGTTTTGTCTCCTGTATTTAGTTCTGTTACATTACTTCATTCTATCGGGTATAGAGCTCTTATTGTGGCTACATTTTACATCAGTCCTGTAGCCTTTTATCTTCTTCAGCTGGTACATGAAAAATGGCACTGCTTTGTATCTAATGGGATTAGACCTTAATGCCAAGGAATGGCTCTTGATCCAAAAAATTGTAAACAGGGTACCTTTTCTTGGATCATATCTGATTGCCTTTCATTTACCCTGGCATGATACAATTATTCTTATGCCTGCAAACCCATATAGTTCGTAATCCCAAGATGTAATAAACAGAAGAATGGATGGAGACTGGAACCATAGTCTATGAATATAACAAGCACAACCACTGTAATACGGTATTGTTCATGTTGTATGACCTTACAGATTTAGTGCTACCTCCATTACCTGAATGAATTGTGTAATTTGTTTAAAGTGAAAGATTACTGACTGCCCTTCATATTTTACTAGGTTCTCTGTTGTGAGAATCAAATTTTGTTCAATCTTCTGGAAGCCTTCAGCTTAGCTATTGATCTATATGATTGCTATATTGTTACATTAATGATTAAAGCGTACTAGAAAAATCAGTGTATGTGATGAATGATAAAGATTCTATATGAACTGATACAGGTATAGCTTTCTGGTGTGAAATATAATAATGTATGGTATAAGTTTTAAAGCCTGCTTACAGTGTTTTTTCTTTGCAGGCTACTAACTTTAGAGAGCCAGTGACTGTATGGGATGATGAGAAGGCAAACGAGCTCTCACTTAAGTACTATAATGCTGAACTTCACCGAGCCTCATTTGTGATGCCCACTTTTATGAAGAACACACTCAGAGAAGTCAGCTAGGATAAGATGATCAAAAAACATGGTATCACTTTTTTAATACTCGGGTGATTCTTTATACTTTTAATGGTTTAACTCTTTATGTGACTAATAGTATGGCATGAGCATCATTGTTTACATAAATTTATCTTTAGAACATTTTACAGTCAAGTGGTTTATGCATATATCTATATATTTAAATGACTTAGTCTGCATATTATTTATGAGTGGTATAGAATTCAGATGACAAAGTGCACACTGCTTGATAAAGTTCTGTGAATGTAGATCTGTCCAATTCTTGAACTTTAGTATTAAAGCTCGAATGTATCTATCTTGCTACGTACTTGGATTAGATTCCCAATTATTTGGGTGGAATAATGCAATTCAAGTTAAACTAGACCAATTTTTCATTCATTTGTCTTAAAGTATGAAATAAATTTTCAATAATTTTAGTCGAAAGTTAAGACACATGTGCAACATCTGGATATCTTTATTGTAGACGTTTCATCATCCAGTGGCTTTATCAATACAGATTCTAGGACATAATTAGAAGACAGAACTGTATACAAAAGATGAGGTTCTTAGAGTTAGTGTTTACAGCATCGTGGTTGTGGAGAATCTGGAGCAAAGGCAAGGAGACTGGCGGTTATATAGGCGTCAGTGGATAGGGACGTGTAGCAGACGAGGACATAGTCACTGGTAGGCGGGATTCCCCAGTGGAAGTAGGTCCTACCCAAAGGGATGGGTTAGTTGTAGTAGCCGTGAAGAGGACATCTACAAGACCTTCACGGCTACTACAACTAACCCATCCCTTTGGGTAGGGCTTACTTCCACTGGGGAATCCCGCCTACCAGTGACTGTGCCCTCGTCTGCTACACGTCCCTATCCACTGACGCCTATATAACCGCCAGTCTCCTTGTCTTTGCTCCAGATTCTCCACCACCACAATACTGTGAACACTAACTCTAAGGCTGAGGGACTGATTACCTCATCTTTTGTATATAGTTCTACTGTCTTCTAATTATGTCCTAGAATCTGTATTGATAAAGCCACTGGATGGCAAAACGTCTACAATAAAGATATCCAGATGTTGCACGTGTCCTAACTTTCATGTTGTCGGTATTTTATACCTTTGTTGCACAATTTTAGTCAATTCAAAAATTAAATAAATTTTATTATACAGTGGACCCCCGGTTAACGATTTTAATCCGTGCAAGAGGGCTCATCGTTATGCGAAATAATCGTTATGCGAATGAATTTTCCCCATAAGAAATAATGGAAATAAAATTAATCCGTGCAAGACGCCCAAAAGTATGAAAAAAATTTTTTTTTACCACATGAAATGTTAATTTTAATACACACAAACTGAAAAAGGCATGCACAATTACATGACACTTACTTTTATTGAAGATCTGGTGATGATTGATGGGATGGGAGGAGGGGAGAGCATTATCTTCTTACTGTTTAGAAGGGGAATCCCCTTCCATTAGGACTTGAGGTAGCAAGTCCTTTTCTGGGGTTACTTCCCTTCTTCTTTTAATGCCACTAGGACCAGCTTGAGAGTCACTGGACCTCTGTCGCACAACAAATCTGTCCAATAGAGCTCTGTACCTCCCGTTCCTTCAAGACTTTCCTAAAATGGGCCATAACATGTCATTGAAATAGTCACCAGCACAGCTTGCAACAGCTGTGTCAGGGTAAATTTTCATCTATAAGGTTTGCAGTTCAACCCACTGTGCACACATTTCCTTAATCTTTGAAGTAGGCACAATGGATTCCACAATGCATAGGCTTCTCAGGGTTAGCCCCAAACCCTTCAAAATCTTTCTTAATTTCCATACTAATTCTCACCCTTTTTACCACAGGGTTGGCACTAGAAGCTTTCTTGGGGCCCATGGTCACTTATTTTCCAGAAACAGCACCGAAAACACTGTAATAATACGAAATATTCCGAGTGTATGCTTGGATGTTACCGCGGAGGCTGGCTGGTAAACAATGGGACGGCCGGCACATGTGAGGGCACATTGGACGCGTCTCGGACGAAAATCGGTAAGCGGGTTTTTAATCGGTATGCGCGGCAAAAATTTTGCGATAAAAGTAATCGTTATGCGGAAAAATCGCTATGTGATGCCATCGTTATGCGGGGGTCCACTGTATATAGTAAAATCTCAAATATCAAACTGCTCCCAACTGAATTAATTATGTAAGTGTATTGTTGAGGATCTGAAATGAAATAATCTAATTTAAATTATTCCTGATGGGAATAAATTGTTTGGTAATGGCATTTGAACAGCCATATGGAATGAAGAAAGTATGACATTTGACGTTCCATTGTAATACTTAAACCTACCATCCGACTTATGACCGAGTTGTATTGTTAGTACTGTATTTTATACTCTAAGGTTTAGGATAAACACTGTACAACACAAATAATTGTTTATTTGGCATAAAAAACACGGTCATAAGTCGGATGGTAGGTGTATTTAAATGTTGTAATCGAGATATTATGAAACTCAGGTAATTTAGTTAGGTGATAATGAAGAATAACATTAGGGTTTTTGACCTACCCTGTTGCCTCAGTGTTATATGATTTTAATAAAAAAGTTAATTTACAAACATGTTATCTGTGGTTCCTTGATGCTGGTGAGGGGAATTAGATCTGTGCTCTGATTATTATTATAATCAAAAAGAAGTGCTGGGGTATTGGGTAGGAAGAGGGATGATTAGGTTAGGGAGTACAGGGGTAGAAAGGACTGATGGGAGTGCTAGAGGTATCATCAGAGTTTGTCAATGAGAGAGTCTGGGCTTGAGGGGAGGTAAATTCTGGAGGCTCATTGACAGAGTAGGCAGTCCAACAAAAACTGGAACCTGACAATTCTTAGAGAGGAACAGGGCACCTCCCTGTGAGTAAGTGTGTGGCCAACAGGAGAGTAGTCTCTCAACCTTGACATTGATAAGACGGCCAGAAACTTATACACAATTTATGGAGCAGATCACGCTAACAGGTGGATAGCAAAACAGTTCATGAATGGAATACCTCTATAAGAAAATGGGAAGTCATGTACTGCTGACCACACAACAGTGTCTGCCTGTTCATTGCCCAGTATGTCAATATGACAAGGGACCCAACAGCCACTCTCTAGAATACCGGAGAGGGATCAGGACATCCCCAGGCGATCCAGATTCCACGGCAAACTATGCCACCGCCAAGAACCTCATCGGAATGGGATGGACCCCGGTACTCTTTCCCCTACCTAGGAACTAGCGCGCATGTGGGAAAAATCCCAAAGGCCAAAAAGAGGAAAGGGAAAAGGGGAGGATGGGATAGGGAAGGGGGGATTGGGTTCGGTCTGAGGAAGGAGACCGACAGGTCTAATTCCTCAGACCAAGAGCCTCTTCACCACACCAAGGAGCCCCCCTTGAAGAGGCTAGTAGTAGTAAACCTTCATATTATTATGTTTACTGTACATTCCAGGCTAGATCAATATCTGGTGACAGTGACCTACTGGCTTAATTATCATTCCTGACCAGTGTTCTCAGTGAAACCTCCAATATTAATATACATAAAGTAAAATGACTGTTATTATCAAGGGGGAAGTGATCAACTCATAGGGATTATACAGTGCCTGTGAGTGGGGGGAAGATGGAAGGCATTCAGGGAATAACAGGTATTTACCCTACCCCAGGCAGTGTTATCTCTACACTGGACCATTCATGTGGGGGTCATGAACTAATTAACTGCTCACGCAGCACAAAAATGGGACACTAGCAGTCCTTGCCATCATAATACAGGCTATGCGAAGAATTGATACACCTCATCCCCTAGTTCTGCATATCCAACTTTGGTTATGCTGTATCTAGTAAGCACAAAGTTGGATATGCAGAACTAGGGGATGAGGTGTATCAATTCTTCGCATAGCCTGTATTATGATGGCAAGGACTGCTAGTGTCCCATTTTTGTGCTGCGTGAGCAGTTAATTAGTTCATGACCCCCACATGAATGGTCCAGTGTAGAGATAACACTGCCTGGGGTAGGGTAAATACCTGTTATTCCCTGAATGCCTTCCATCTTCCCCCCACTCACAGGCACTGTATAATCCCTATGAGTTGATCACTTCCCCCTTGATAATAACAGTCATTTTACTTTATGTATATTAATATTGGAGGTTTCACTGAGAACACTGGTCAGGAATGATAATTAAGCCAGTAGGTCACTGTCACCAGATATTGATCTAGCCTGGAATGTACAGTAAACATAATAATATGAAGGTTTACTACTACTAGCCTCTTCAAGGGGGGCTCCTTGGTGTGGTGAAGAGGCTCTTGGTCTGAGGAATTAGACCTGTCGGTCTCCTTCCTCAGACCGAACCCGATCCCATCCTCCCCTTTTCCCTTTCCTCTTTTTGGCCTTTGGGATTTTTCCCACATGCACGCTAGTTCCTAGGTAGGGGAAAGAGTACCGGGGTCCATCCCATTCTGATGAGGTTCTTGGCGGTGGCGTAGTTTGCCGTGGAATCTGGATCGCCTGGGGATGTCCTGATCCCTCTCCGGTATTCTGGAGAGTGGCTTTGGGTGTCTTTCGGGCGACGGGTGTATCTCTGGAAGCCACCTTTCGGATTCCGGGGGTGGTGGCCAAAGGAGGTACGCTTTGTGGCAGATATTCGGCCGCCCTCTCTTTTGTCCACCGAGGTAGCTATCCCGGATTGCTGGCTTACTGGCATGATGGGTAGGGTATGGCACGGGTTCCATGCTGCATCTACGCTACTTGCGGGGCTGAGGTCCTCTTGGGCGCGGAGGGAGATTTCTGGCCCTTTCATTCCTCCTAGGAACTATCCCTCCCCGGTCCCCCCTTTTTTTATTTTTATTTTTTCCTTTTTTTTTTCTTAAAAACAAAAAGAAAGAAGTAACCTAACCATGGCAGCCCCAGTCCATGAACCTGGCACCCCCGGGCCCCTTCTTGATACCGCACCCCGTTCTGACCCCGCCTCGTCTTTGGACCACTCTTCGGACACTCCTCTTGCCGGTGCTGTTTCCTCACCTGCTTCAGGTATTGAGGTCTCGACTGACTCCTTTGATTTATCTGACCTCCACTCTCCTTTGACTATGCTTCTGGCCTCTCCCTCTATGGTGCGGCAATTTTCGAACCGCCGGCCCATTCCACGTCGGACCAACTCTGGTCCCACGCCTAAACGCCAACGACAATTACCTGCTGATGATACTTCTCGTTCTTCTCAGAAAAGATCGACACGTCCTGCGCTCAGTTTCAGACTGCACAATGGACTAAATTCTTCACTTTACGACCGACTGCCTATCTTTCCGACCACAGTATTGGCAAGGCACTCCTACGCCATGTTGGTAAAGATATTTCTTCTCATGCTCTTAAGAGCGGTACGCACATCATCACTGTACAGAATGCTACCCAAGCTCATGATCTTTCTCTGCTTTCCCATATAGATACTGTTCCTGTCACTATTGAAAAACATTCCCTCAATTCTTGTAGTGGTACCGTCATTCTGCCCCATACCATAGTTCAACAAAATTTCCAGACATGTGGCAATGACATTCTTGAACAGCTGGAACTCCAAGATCT